CCTTGGAGTGTGCGGATCATAACTCCTAATAGGTGCATATAACTTGCAAGATCGGATCAAGACACAAATATATTCATGAAAACATAATAGGTTCAGATCTGAAATCATGCCACTCGGGCCCTAGTGACAAGCATTAAGCATAGCAAAGTCATAGCAACATCAATCTCATAACATAGTGGATACTAGGGATCAAGCCCTAATAAAACTAACATGATTACATGATAGATCTCATCCAACCCATCACCGTCCAGCAAGCCTACGAAGGAATTACTCACTCCCGGCGGTGAGCATCATGAAATTGGTGATGGAGGAAGGTTGATGATGACGACGGTGTCGAATTCCCCTCTCTAGAGCCCCGCACGGACTCCAGAGCAACCCTCTCGATGAAGAACAGGAGGTGGCGGCGCTCCGTATCGTAAAACGTGATGAATCATTCTCTTTGATTATTTTCTTGGCAAATAGGTATATATGGAGTTGGAGTTAGGGTTGCCGGATGTCCAAGGGGCCCACAAACTCGTAGGGCGCGTCCTGGGGGGTGGGCGTGCCCCCTGAGCTTGTGGCTCCTGGGTGGGCCCCCTCTGGTATATTTTTCCACCAGTATTTTTTATATATTCCAAAAAAAATTCTCCGTAAATTTTCAGGTCAATCCGAGAACTTTGATTTCTGCACAAAAACAACACCATGGCAATTCTGTTGAAAACAGGCCAGTCCGGGTTAGTTTCATTCAAATCATGCAAATTAGAGTTCAAAACAAGAGTAAAAGTGTTTGGAAAAGTAGATACGATGGAGACGTATCAGATACCATCAAATTCCTATGAAATTGGGAGATGAATGGAAAACAACATTTAAAACTAAGTTTGGATTATATGAGTGGTTAGTCATATGCCTTTTGGGTTAACTAATGCACGTGACTTTTTCATGAGATTAATGAAAGAAGCCTTACGTGCTTACATTGGACGATTTGTGGTCGTCTATTTTGATGTTATACTGATTCATAACAGATCTTTGAAGGAACATTTACGTGTTGTTTTTATTGCTCTATGTGATGCACGTTTGTTTGGTAACCTTGGGAAGTGCACCTTTTGCACCGACTGGGTATCTTTTCTTGGCAATGTTGTTACTCCACAGGGAATTGAAATTGATACAACCAAGATTGAAGCTATTGAGAGTTGGCTGCATACCAAAACCGTCCCACAAGTGAGGATTTTTCCTGGCCTCGTTGGTTTCTACAGGCGTTCTGTGAGAGGTCTCAGCACCATCGCTGCACCTCTGAATGAGCTTACAAATAAGGGTGTGCCTTTTGTTTGGGGTACCGCACAGGAAGAAGCCTTCATAGTATTGAAAGATAAGCTGACACATGCTCTTTTACTCCAACTTCCTAATTTCAATAAGACTTTTCACTTTGAATGTGATGCGAGTGGAATTGTATTAGGAGGTGTGTTATTATAAGATGGTAAACCTATTGCGTACTATTTTGAGAAATTGAGTGGGCCTAGTCTGAATTATTCTACTTATGATAAGGAATTATATTCTCTTGTTTGGACTTTAGAAACATGGCAACATTATTTATGACCCAAAGAATTTGTTATACATTCTGCTCATGAATCTTTGAAACACACTAAAAGCCAAGCAAAACTGAACCGTAGACATGCTAAATGGGTTGAATTCATTGAGACTTTCCCTTATGTCATTAAACAAAAGAAGGGTAAAAAAAATGTTATTTGCTGATGCATTATCTCATCGCTATACTATTTTCACAACTTGACTTTAAAATATTTGGTTTGGAGACCGTCAAAGATTAATATGTGCATGATGCTAAATTTAAAGATGTAATGCAGAATTGTAAAGAAGGAAGAACATGGAACAAATTCGTCACTAATGATGGATTTTTATTATGTGCTAACAAGCTATGCATTCCAGGTAGCTCAGTTCATCTTTGGTTATTGTAGGAGGCGCATGAAGGAGGATTAATGGGACACTTTACCGTGAAGAAGATGAAGGACGTATTTGCTACACATTTCTTTCGGCCAAAGATGGGATGGGATGTTGAGCATTTTGTTGCTCGCTGCACTACATGTCAAAAACTAAGACACGACTCAATGTTCGTGGTTTATATATGCCTTTGTCTGTACCTAGTGTTCCGTGGGAGGGCATATCTATGGATTATGTTTTAAGTTTACCTTGAACAAAGAAGGGGAGGGATAGCATATTTGTTATCGTGGATAGATGTTCGAAAATGGTGCACTTTATACCATGTCATAAAAAGTGATGATGATGCTAATGTTGATGATTTGTTATTCCATGAAATTATTCATTTGCATGGTGTACCAAATACAAATGTTTCATATCGTGATACTAAATTTCTTAACCACTTTTGGAGATGTTTATGGGCTAAGTTAGGGATTAACTGCTTTTTAGTACTATATTTCACCCCCAAACTGATGGTCAAACTGAAGTAGTCAATAGAACATTGTCTACTATGCTTAGGGCTATTTTGAAAAATAATCTGAAAACATGGAAAGAATGCTTGCTCTCGTATCGAATCTGCTTATAATCGTTCGCTGCATTCTACTACTAAGATCTGCCGTTTTGAAATTGTGTATGGTTTACTACCTCGTGCACACATTGATTTTTGCCTCTTTCATCTTTGGAGAATGTTAATTTTGATGCTAAACAACATGTTAAACTGATCTTAAAAATGCATGAGTTAACTAAGAAAAACATTGAGTGCATCAATGCTAAATACAAACTTGTTGGCGATAAGGGTAGAAGACATATTGTGTTTGAACTAGGAAATTTTGTTTGGTTACATTTAGGCAAAAATGGATTTCCTAATTTGCGCAAATCTAAGATAATGCCATGTGTTGATGGTCATTTTAAGATGTTAGAGAAAATAAATGATAATCCATATAAACTTGAGCTGCCTGCAGCTTTTGGGGTTAGTCCTACTTCTAAAATCGCACATTTGAATCCTTATGTGGGTGAGGAATATGAGCTTCCGTCGAGGACGACTTCAATTCAAGAAGGGAGGATGATGAGGACATCACTACTATAGACTATAGTTACACCCACAACCCCTGCTGCTACATATATTGGACCAATTATTAGAGCTCGCGCACGCCAATTAAATTTCGTTTCTTGGTAACGATTCTAATGTTCATAAGAATATGATGCTGACTAAATTGAATACATTTGTTTTACTTACAAATGAAGGGCCCAACATGGATAAGAAGGATGAACATTGAAGCATGATTAAGCATGGAGAGGATGCGGTGCGCAAGGGGAACAAGAATGGAGTTTCCGGTAGAGTTTTCAGCACTTTGAAGCCACCATGATGACATACAAGGACATGGACGAAATATACAAGACGACCTATCATTAATTTCGTTCATAGCTTAATATAGGTGTTGTGCCACCTTATTTTTGGGTCAGACCATGTAATTTCAAAATACACTTAATAGGTTGTTTTTGGAGTCTGTATTAATAGAGAAAACAACCAAGGACAGGATTTAGTCCCATCTTGCCAAGGGTGGATGAAATTCCCCTCTGTCTCCCTATAAATACAACCCTTAAGGTGTCGTTTTAGACTGGGGTTTTATTTAGATTAAAGTTCGCCATGGTGCAACGCGCGTACATCATTTATGTCCAACGACCAGGCCAAGACGTTTCAGAATCCCACTTTAAATAAAGTTTTCCTCTTAAATTCGCAATATCCAGATTGCAATCTCAGTTTCTTACTTGTTCTTCATTTGCCTGCAGGAAATAGACCCTCATGGTCAACTCACAATGAGCCCTCTCTGACTGGATTTGAAATGTGAGAAGTTCTAATTGCCATTGCTAACTCTGTTGCAGTTGCAAGAACGCTGCTATAAGAACGACAAACTGTGGCCGATTTACAGCCGACACGCTGCGGCCACCATCGGATGCAGTTGGCCAGCATTTGTACCCCGCTCAGATTCAAGTGTCATGCGCATCTCGGCCAGGAAACGTCCAGTTTTGTAGTAGTTGCAAAGACATAGTTTGAACAAATTGAATTTGTTCAGTTGTCTAACATAAATGGCCATCCAACCGCATCTCAATTTGTTCACATATAGTTTGAGCAAAACTGAATTTGCTCAGTAGGTGGCTCCTGGTTCCATACCAAAAGCATGCAGTCCTTCCCAGGTGGTAGGTTGTTCATGCGCACAATCGAAGCCACAAATTTCTCATTAATTAGAATTAGTAATAAGAAATCAGAGATTAGTCTTTGGTATACAGGTCCTGAAACGAGAAACTATTTGGAGTACAATTTAACTCAGGTGAAAAACTCTCAGGACCCAAATATACTCGACCTAGACTAAGCCATTTTGTAAAATACAGATGGCATATTGCGATCTGTTGTAGAACAGCATCCTACAAGAATATTAAGAATTGGCCGGTAAACAGAAAAATCCATTGACATTGTAAATCACAACACTAGTACAAACTTCAGCTCAGTTATACTTCATCACATCATGCAACACATGCCAACCAGGCTTCATCGGATATCAGAATTCTAATAAGCCCAGAAGCAGCAATTAACTACCACTACCAATGAGACATCCACAGTTTCCCCAGAAATCCAAAGTGAAGAACTAGTGACAAAATTTGAAGATATAGGAGAACTGTTGAAATCTCAGCTGCGCTATATTCTTTTCAACTGTGACTACATCACTTTTTCCTCCAGCAACCATCCTGGACTTCCGTCGTCATGATTATTGAGATATTAATGGCTTGCTATTGCACCAGGGTTACTAGAACCAAATCATCGCATCAGCCCCTTATAGCCGAACACACAATGGCAAGAACGAAGCTCTACAACACCAATTATATGCACAACAAACAAGCCTGCCTGTGGGAGAAAAGAACCTTTTATTAGAACAAGAGATGCCATCGGAAATTTTAAAGAACAGCTATAGTGAGAGCTAAGACAAGTATTTCATACACATACACATGAAGTGGAGAAAATAGACCAACAAGCTTCATTTTCTCTGCAGGTGGGGCTTAACAGATTCTAAAACAACCTGAACATCAGAGGATTTCTCAACAGTTAGACAAAATGTAACATTAGAAAGCACAAATCAACATTTACAATAAATAATAAAAAGGTTGCAGGTACTCACTCTTCCATCATAAGACAGAGAAGCAAACAATGATGGATCATGGGAGCTCCATGCAATTCCTACAATTTCAGTCAGCTCTGTGATTCTTTGTCAAAATTTCAATGTACATACAAGTAGGGAGGTTCAACAGTACCATAGATGCTATCTTCGTAGTCAGTATACGAGTGCAGTAATGGTTCTTCTTGCCTAGTGGGCGAACCAGAAGGGCTGCAAAAATAAGATTGGGGGCATCAAAATTGCAACCTCAAACAAATTAATCAAATCTGTGAGTAACAGAAACCTTTCGGGTCCAGAGTCATCAGTGCCAACTTTAGCCAACCATAAATTGACAGCTGAATCCGTTCCAGCACTCTATACAGAAGTTTCAATAGTCAGTTAAAATTTAAATTGATATATATATTACTACACGCGCGCTAGAGAGCGAGGGCGGGAGGGGGAGGGGGAGAGAGAGACCAGAATCAGCTCATCATACTCAGGATTGTGCCGAACAGCCCATGTCCTGCAAAAATCATTATATCGTGGTCAATTAACTTGATGATCGCTAGAGTAAGAAATCAGAAAAGCAAATTAGTAATCATATATATTAAATTGGTGAGTTGACAGCATCATCCCATATAGGTGGTAAAGTGCTACAACACCAGACCAATAAAAAGTAACAACAATGTTGACATGGGACGAAAATGCACTCATATGAAGGATTTCAAGCATCAAGGAGCACACATTCACATCAAATATGCATAGAACAAATGGTGCAGGTTTAGAACATTTCATCAACTAAATACACAAAAAACGGATTTTCATTTGAGTTTACTATAAGATACACCAACATACCAATGTGAATGTCCAGGGAGATCCTTCAGAGGATGCTTAAGCATTCTGAGATCCCACAAGCGAATTCCGAATTCGTCCTCTGCTGTTGCCTGCACCGCAAAAGGGAACCTCAAGCAGCATAAACAAACGAAGCTGAATGAAAGAAATTTGCAAACTGTTACTCCGACATGGATACTAGAATCCGACTCAGAAAAAATTTACAAAATAAGATTTCAGGTTCCAATGGACTAAATTAACCTTATTATAAAAGATAATGATAAATTTCAAACCTGCTGCCAAACACAATCAACACAAAAAATTTGATCAAACAATAACTAAGTAAGAAGTAGTGGCAAATCCAGATTAAATATTAACTATGTTACTTACACAAGTGCAAGAAAAAGAAACTCTGAAAAGTTGAAAGGTAACGGAGAAAAAGAAACTAATAAAAAAATACCCCTTTTCAGGGTTACCACACAAAAAAGGCAACTCATAAACCTGCTGTTCTTCTGATAGAAGAAATAAAATAGTTTTTATCCAAAGAACAAGATGCACCAAACTCACAATTATGTTTTGCTTCTTGGGGTTATAATCCACATCCTGGATATGAGCATGTTCAATTGCATTTGATCTCCTAAGAACAATTAGTTCATGCACATAGATGTAAGTACAGCATTTGAAAATCCAAACATAAGTATAAGCTCAGATAATCTGATGTGGTCAAGATTGTCAAGTACTAACTTCATAGAACGGAGATCCCAGAAGTGGAGTGACGAATCAGTTATTGTAGCAACTGCGTTGTGATTGTGTGGATCCCAAGCTCCACCACGTAAATTGGGAAGCATGTCAGCAGATCCCTGTGATATCACCTGCAATTTGGTACTCAAATTACGACCATGATGAAGTACTAAACTGATGCTAATAGAGATATTGATGTTTCAGATTTTATAAACTCATATTAGGCATATAAATAATGAAAAGAATTTGTAATGTATGTTAAACAAAAGGATGATTGACACACCTTGGCTGATTTATTTGATGGATCTATGTTCCAGAGAAAAATGTTTCTGTCATCGATGCTAATTAGCTTATCATGCTTCCCCAGTGGCCACCAGAGAACACTGCAAAAACAAACTAGCTAATAAAGATCATATGCATAAGACATATTGTCTCACTACAGATCCTCCACAAAATATCAAGATATGCAGAGCTAACCAATATTATATGCATAACATGGGAAACTTACAAAACCATGACCGAGATCAGATTTTTTTTTAAAACAGAATCTCAGAATAATTGTGTAATGAAAAAAAAATCATCTATTTTGTGTTGTGATACAAGTGAGGTATGTTCTGCCAAATTAATATGTTCAGTGTAGTGTACCCGTCCTACTAAAACCCTCCCATATCAGTGCATGCTGCATGTAAGCATTGCCACGGCCACAGCCAGAGCATTATAATTTGCCAATTTGAACTTTGCAATACCCACCAGCACAGACACATTAAACAACAAACGCATTCTCCGACTGGACTCTGTTTACATCTAGTCTAAAAATCAACAAGCACAAACACACCCTGTATGGCAATAAGATTAAGTAGCTCTAGAGTAAGCACAGAACTTCAAGGCAAACAAGAGAGCACCATCTTATTTTGTCCGTGTGGTCATCGAGCGTGAAGAGCTGCTCAAGCTGCGGTGAGTTGGACTGCCCATACAGCTCTGGGATCTTCCAAACGGACGCGCCATAACCCTCACCTGTCATTCACATTGTAACACATGGAAACGCTTTAGAATTGCATCTCAAAATGCTCAATGCATCAAAAAAAGAAGAGGGGAATTCGGAAAGAGTGGAGCATTTCTACCAGAGGTGTAGACCGTGGAGAATAGCCTGTGGTCGAAGGGGCAGGACTTGAGGTCCCAGATCTCGTTGGGATGGTAGAACAGCCCGTCGCACACGAGCTCGTTCTCCCCCGGCAGCAGCCGGATCAGGTGCACCTATTCTTGGACACGAGGAATTCGAGATCCAATCACGCACCATTCTCAACCACCCAAAGAAGAAATCACTGCTCCAATTGCCGCAGTGCAGGGCAGAGTCCCCCGCAAGAAACGTACCTCGTTCTCCTCCTTGAGGCTGAGGGTTCCGGCGAGGAAGGTGGTGGAACCGGCGTCCGCGCGCACGTCGGTGATGCACCGCGCCTGGAAGAGAGGAAAAAGAAAATGAGGAGGAGACGGAAGAGGGGCGCCACGGGAGAGTGTTCTAGAAGCTTCGAGAAGGTGATGCTGCTTGCCTGGTACTTGAGGCCGCCGTAGACGATGCCGCTGGATCCGCCCTGCATTCTCGCTCACGCCGGCGAGACGATCGGAGATGTAAACGGAGATCGCTGAACGGGGGTACCGCGGGTAGTCGCCTTCCACACTCCTTACCAAGATTGAAGTCCGCTTTGCCAAACAGGAAACGCGTTTTACGTTCAGCAAGTGCCCTTTAACCTATTAGAGCAAATCTGGCCCTCAAAAGACCGCGCGCGCGCCCACGGGCATGGACCCATCACACCTCATGGGCGTGTTTGGTTGCCCGCATTAGGCCCAGCCTGGCACGAGCGGGAAAAATTTGGTCCGTTTGGTTTCTTGCATTCACTGTGCGGCCCGCATCGCACGGAACTTAAATCCAGGCCAGGCCCAGGGGAAACGCACGATTCGGCAGTAGCTCGCGAGCCTGGCTCGGGCGAGGCAGGGGTGGGCGACGCGCTTCTCCCCTCGTGCGAGCAGGGGAGATGGCGCGAGCTCGCCCGCGTCGCCGAAAAATCGGCGGGAGGATTTCGGCTCACCTCCCGCCGCTCCACCCCCTATTTAGCTCCTCCCTCACCGCCCCAGCTCCCGCCACCATTCTTCCTCCGTTCGCACTTTCTCGCCGACACGCATCGACACCGACGAGCAGGTAAGCGGCGCATCTTCATCGGCCGGCGGTCCACTGCACCGGAGCTCCTTCACCGGCCGGCGTTCATCTTCCATCACCACCACCACCCCCCCTCGTCTTCAAGCTGCAGCCATGGTCTCCGTGAGTTCAATCCCCCTTTCTCTCTGTTCCTTCTAGCTAGATCTAAGCTGCAGCTAGGGTTTGATCTAGATGCATGGTTGATTAGTGGTCTGATCTGTGAGCTGATATGGTTGGTTGTTATGTTGCGGTTGCAATTTGTGGTAGGGCTAGATGTTCAAGCATGTGGTATGCTAGATTAGTAGTAGAGTTTGAAGTTGAACCTTGTGCTTGTGTTGAATCATGCTTAGATCTGTGATTTGTAGCTATTGGTGGTCCATTTGTAGCATGTTGTTTATTATAGATGTATGTTTCTGCTCATAGATTGTCTGGTATGCTTGGTATGATAGTGATGAAGCATGTGCTTGCTATGATAGTGATGAACCATGTACATGTATGCTTCTGCTTTCATGAATTGTCCGATACGTTGTGTGCTATGCTCACTGTTAATGCGTGCTACGATTGTAGGACATGACCACGCAGACGCAAGATCTTAGTCGGGCCATTGTCGTGTCCGACAGCCAGTTTGCTCCATCGTTTGTCGAGGACTCGCAGCCTATGTCCGAGATGGCACATGATTCAGAGGTGTTTGAGTCTGATTCCCTCTATGTGCCAGTAGTGCTCGTTGAGCCAACTCTTGCTGATGCTGCTGCCGCTGCAATCAAGCTAGCAGCAGCAAAGGCAAAGGAGGATGGTAGGTCCAACAACATGAAGTGGCAGCCGTTCATGTCCATGTTCGTGCTGAATAAGATGTGTGAGCTCATCTCTAGTGGAGTTAGGACTGACAAGGGTTTCAAGGAGGTGCACTTGAACACCGTTGCGAAACAGGTGTTCGAGTTCTATGGGCAAGAGGTGTCTGCCACCCAGGTGTACAATCACCTGAGGAAGTGGAGAAGTCGATGGATCCAAGTGTCCAAGCTGAGAGACCTTAGCGGCGCCTCATGGGATGAGAACACTTGCTCCATAGTTCTGGAGGCAGAGCACTACGCCGGCCATGTCGCGGTTAGCTCACAGCCCTCTTCCTTTTCATACTGTCCACCATTGCCTACTCCTAATCGCAACTAACAACACATGTGTTTCATTCTTAGGACCCCCCAAGGGACGCTGAGTTCCTCAACACACCCATCCAGAACTACAACCAGATGTAGCACATCTTTCTCCTTCGGGCTGGCAACTGGGAAGCATGCCATGGGCTCGGGTGAGCCTCTTGGTTCTCCCATGCCAGACTTCCCTGGGACACCGGACGTCAAGGTCCTTGATGGTCCTGACAAGCCCGCTGTGAAGCCCTTCGACAAGCCATTTGACCCCAACCATGATAGGAAGAGGAAGAGAGGAGGCCTGATGGAGGAGGAGATCAATGTCTTTTGCAACATGAATGAGGCGGTGAAGGAGGTGGCAACAACCATCAGGGAGTGCAAGCCCCTCAACATCCACCCTGACCTGTATGGCGTTGTCATGACCCAGGGTGGATTCAGCAACGAGGCTCTCATGGCAGCTCTCAGTCACCTGCTTGACAACAAGGCCCAGGGTGTTGGGTTCGTTGCCATGACCGGCGCTCACAGGGTGTTGTGGCTTAGGAGCTGGCTGCGCAAGCACTACTACTAGAGTAGTGCTGCCTGTGAGCGTGCATGATCCCCGACGGCGATGGCTGTGGCGACGACGATGACGACGACGACGACGTACATTTTGTGTAGCTAGGGCTCAAAAACTATTTGATGGTTTGTATATTTTGGTGAGGTGGTATATACTAACCCCTCACGCTAATGGTGAACTTGCGGTGGTAGGACGACACCCTCTTTTGGATGTGGTGGTAGGTTAACACCAAGGTAGTGCTAGGTTGAACTTGCTATGCCATATGATCATGCATGCTTACTTCTCTTCTGCTCCATTGTTGTTCGTGTGCTACTTTGCTTGCTACTTGTGCTCCATTGATTTGCTGCTTCAACTCTTCCTCTTGTGCATTGCTAGGGCAAGTTGTATGCCGTGTTCATCGGTGAGGTTCCAGGAGTTTATAGTTCATGGGAAGAAGTCAATGCACAAGTGGCGTTGTATAGCAACTACAACTATAGAGGGTTCAAGACTAGGCAGGCAGCAGAACAAGCTTACTCCGCCTGGGTGCGAAAGCACGGAGGCGGCAGTGTTGACAGTGCCAAGGTTGGAGCTGTCAAAGTGGAAGCTGCTAAGGTGGATCGTCAGTTCGGCCTGAAGCTGAAGAACTTTATCATCTTCGCCCAGTTCGTCACCATTGATGTGTCGTGGCGTTGGTGTGCTTGTTGTGATCGTTGTGGGTAAGCTCACCAACTAGGGTACAAGGTAAGCACAACATGTACGCCGTGTGCAACCAAACGTCGTGTTCATGTGCCGCTAGGGCCAATGCAGCCAACCAAACAAAGTGCACTTGGGTATTACCTAATGCGGGGACTAGGGACGCAGGCAACCAAACAAGTTGCGTATGGCATATTAGGGCCTATTTTTCCTCAACCAGGCCGGGTTGAGAAGGCTATGCAATGCGACTACTGTTCCAAACTGGAACCAAACATGCCCCATATGTTAGCTTCCGCATCTGCGTCTCTCATATCCAAACCTGCAACTCATACAACGCTACGTATAAACACGATCAATACACGGTTCATTGGATCACCCTTTCATCTCTTAATGAGCATGTCCAACTGAGTACATCGGCGGATAGTGCAAATACATACTACAAACTACTTAAAACATAAATAAAACGGAAAAGGGTGGAGGAAATCACCATTTCCTCGCCAACCCCTTCCCCTTTCGGTCATTGATGCGGTTGTGCCCCTCCTTCATGTAGGCGTCGGCGTGCGGTGGTGCGTCATCGTCGGAGCTGGACGTGGAACCGTCTGTCAAGGCAGAGTCTGAGTTGTAGCTTTGGCTTGACAGACTGCAGAGTAAGCAGTCATGCTTCTTCGCATGGCGGGCGCCTTCGGCTTCGCTGTCGTGCCCTTGTTTGCCTCACGCTCCGACAACTCGATGGTGAGTCGGAGCGTCTTGGCGTTCTTGCGGTGGATGTGCCGCGCTTCCGTCTCCGCGGCCGTGAGAGAGCGGCGGAGGACCAACGCGAGGACCGCGACATCGAGATCATCTGGCACGCTCGCGTGTGATCGTCGTGCAGTCAGCGCCTCCCCCCGCCACCGCCGTCTCCCTCACTCGCTGCCACTCGCGACGGGCTGCTTGTGCCTCATACTCGAGCGTGTCGGTGCTGGCGCGGGCACGAGGACCCAGCGGTGGCCAAATACCACTTCCGGAGCAGACGTTGGTGGTCGGCTGCGTACCTGAAGGACGGGAGCAGAGCGGCTGAAGTTGCACGCCTAGTAGGGCAGGCCGACAACTTTGATACGTCCATACTGCATCATGTTTTACTACTGTTATTTATATTTTTTTTGGTCATTATTCCACTTTATGGTGCAATTTTAATGTCTTTTCTCTCTTAATTTGCAAGATATACATGGAGAGGGAGATTACCGGCAGCTGGAATACTGGACCTAGAAAAGCTACAGCAGTCATACCTATTATGCATAGCTCCATATGACTTGAAACTTCACGAAAAAAAATTATTGGATATATAAAAAATATTGAAGCAAAGAGTTACCAGAGGGGGCCACCAGTTGCCCACAAGGCAACAGGGTGCGCCCACCCCCTAGGCGCGCTCTGATGCCTTGTGGGGCCCACAGCTAGCCTCCGGTGCCCATCTTCTGATATATGAGGGGTTTTGACCTAGAAAAAATAAGAGGAAGACTTTCGGGATGAAGAGCCGCCGTCTCAAGGTGAAACCTGGGCAGGAGCACTTTTGCTCTCTGACGGAGCGATTCCACCGGGAATACTTCCCTTCGGGAGTGGGAAATTGAAGTCGCCGACATCACCATCGATCCTCTCGTCGTGGGAGGACCAATCTTCATCAACATCTTCACCAGCACCATCTCATCTTAAACCCTAGTTCATCTCTTGTATTCAATCTTTGTCCTAAAACCTCAGATTGGTACCTATGGGTTGCTAGTAGTGTTGGTTACACCTTGTAGTTGATTCTAGTTGGTTTATTTGGTGGAAGATTAAATGTTCAGATCCTCAAGCATATTCAATACCCCTTTGATGTTGAACATGAATATGATTTGTGAGTAGTCACTTTTGATCTTGAGGACATGAGAGAAGTCTTGTTACAAGTAATCATGTGATGTTGGTATTCGTTCGATATTTTGATGGTATGTATGTTGTTGCTTCCTTTAGTGGTGTCATGTGAATGTCGACTACATGACACTTCACCATACTTGGGCCTAAGGGGAGGCATTATGGAGTAATAAGTAGGATAGGTTGTTAGAGTGACAGAAGCTTAAACCCTAGTTTATGCGTTATTCCAAAAGCGGCTGATTTGGATCCATGTGTTTCATGTTATGGTTAGATTTATCTTAGTTCTTCTTTCATAGTTCTGGATGCTTGCGAGAGGGGGTAATCATATGTGGTTTGCTTGCTCAAGTAAGAACAACATCCAAGCACAGGTCTACCCACATATCAAATTATCAAAGTACCAAACGTGAATCAACTAAACATGATGAAAGTGATTAGACGATGATTCCCATATGTCCTCAAGAACACTTTGCTTTATATAAGAGAACTTCCAGGCTTGTCCTTTGCTATAAAAAGGATTGGTCCATCTTGCTACACCTTCGTTACTATTGTTACTTGTTATGAATTATGAATTATCTTACTACAAAACTATCTATTAGTGTTACTTCCAGTACTTGCAGAGAATACCTTGTTGAAAACCACTTGTCATTTCCTACTTCTCCTTATTGGGCTCGACACTCTTACTTATCAAAAGGACTATGATTGATTCACTATACTTGTGGGTCATCAGACATCGTCGATGCTGCGTTGACGGGCGACGAACGCTAAGGAAGAAGATTTGCCGCTATCGGTGTCGCCTTGCTTCAGCAGCGATCACCTCAATGTGATGCGGAGGGCGAACTCCTCCACATCGATGATCAAGCTTTCAAATTCTCCATCGAAGCCAATGCTACTTCCGTCGCGGTCATCGGATCATATCGGAGGGGATCACAAGTGGAGTGGACAGAGAGGGAAGTGAAGTGGCGTTCGGATTGGCCGGTGTCTAGGGATTTCCGGATGGGGATATTTGTGGGGCACGGGGTGGGCCAGGCTGGGCCAAGCCAATGTGGCCATGTGGGGGACACGTCCGGGCCTCCCCATATCCGCCCTGCATTTGGGCAGGCTATGAGGGGCGTCGTACGACACGGACGTTTGAGGCTGGTTTATGGTGCCTGACTGGGTTGTTTTTTTGCGACCGGTCAGTGACCGGGACATCCGATCGGGTGTTTTCGGACGGTTTGAGGTGACCAGCTGTAAATGCTCTTACTACCTTTTTCTAAAACTAAAATTCATATAGTAGTATTGACCAAATATAAACTTACAACAACATCCGTAAAGAAAATCATGGGCTATTGCCGACTCAGACGTGGGTCCAGCCCACGTCTCTTTGCCCGACCGCGCCTATATTTTCATCGGCGATCCCATCCCATCTACGAGGCGCATGCTTGACGGGAGAACAAGCCTTCGAAACCTTGCTTCTCGAGATCCTATACGAGGGAGGGGCGATTAAGTTTTTGAGGAGTGTCTTCTATGTGACTGCTTGCCACTGTTCGGCTACGTCCACTACATTGTCTACGTTCGCGTCGCCTACCATGGACACCGAAGGCGACCGACTCACCGCTGAGAAGAAGGCCGCCGAGGACACCATTGTTGCCACCTCCATCGCGGCTTCAGCTTGGCCTATTAGAGGGTATAACTCGCTTAACTCGCTCCTGATTATTTTTATATTAGCCATACAATGTTATACATAGATGTGTCTAGTGTTTGCGTAGTATGTGCTTTTGTGATCGAATGTTAGTATATATTCAACACTGTCAATGCCTTGCTCATGATTATTTCCTAGATTAAATTAATTAAAAATTACTAATATACTTAACAATCCAAAAACCTAATTTATGTTGATTCAAGGTTTTGCCACTACACTAAAACTAACACAATTCACGGGACTTATTTTAAGCGTTGGCAGACCAAAAGCACCTTATGGCTCACAACGATGAACGTGTTCTGGGTCACCGGTGTGACTCCCATAGGAATGATTGCTCCTGACAAGGAGAAGGCATTCAGGGAGTCTCCAATGCTAATGACTAGATCACCACCCTCTTGCTTCGGACATTGCATGAGCCTTTTGGTGTCTGCAACAACTAGATCTTCCAAGTATGGAGGTACAAACACCTCGGCCACCGCAGAAGCAAATCTGACCATGGCATCTTTGCATGTGCTCTCAGACATCCGGAGGTGCTCGTCCCATGAATATGCGGGCGTGCCATATGCTAGCATCAGCAAATGCGGCCGTGCACTTCTGGTAACCTGATAATCCAATTCTTCCCACGACATCCTTCTTCAAGACGAAGTAGTCACCGTAGGATCGGACACCATTGTAGAGGCGGACGAAGATAATTTTTTGCATCCGAAAGCGCCCGCAAAAATTGTCCATGAATAGGGCATCAAGAGCAAAGTTGTCGTCCATCGGCGCCAAAAGCCTTGTGTCTTGTTCCGATTCTCAACACTCAAGGACCCTTGATTGACTAATTGAAATTGAGAACATGCTCTTCCGCACGCTCCACATTGCTACTTGTAAACTGCGTTGGGATTTCCCCGAAGAGGGGAGGATGATGCAATACAGTAGATATAAGTATTTCCCTCAATTAAGAACCAAGGTTATCATCTTTGGTTTTAGTTTCATAGGTGGCCCTCATGATTGATTCATATGGTGGATTAATTTTCTTTCTAGGGAAGTGTTCCATACCCTTTTTTAATGAAAACTGAAATTTTATATTCCCTTCTTTCATATCAAGAACGACACCTATAGTTCGTAAGAACGGTCTACCAAGTATTATGGGGCAAGACGAATTGCATTCAATATCAAGCATGATAAAATCAATGGGCACATAGTTCTTATTTGCAAGAATAAGAACATCATTTTTTCTACCCAAAGGCTTTTTAATAGTACATCCGCCAAGTGCAAATTAAGAGAACATTCATCAATATTGGTAGAACCAAGCACATCACATAGAGATTTCGGAACTGTGGAAACGCTAGCACCCAAATCACATAAAGCATTGCACTCATAATTTTTAATCTTGAATTTAATGGTGGGTTCCCATTCATCATATAATTTTCTAGGAATCGAAATCTCTAATTCTAGCTTTTCTTCTAAAACTTTCATCATC